TGCCATTTTTTCGCTATGCGAGTATCTTTGCCTTTTTTATATTTTAAAAAAGACATCTTGTCCAACAACAAAAGTTCAAACAAGTGGCGATAAAACCATAAGATTATGGCACCCTTGGCATGCAGTGGACTGCAGCAACACCCTCGCCCACCCAACAGTGAAGTGGTTGAGTGTAATGTCCATTTGATGACCGCCTTTGTGCGCATACACAAACTAATACAACTTACATATACAGACAAATATTTGTTGGAGTTGGTAAAAAAGTGTTGTTAGGAATGGGCGATGTCGTATGTTGATAAGCCAAGATTCGTGAAAAGAAATAAATTCAAATAAAAAAAAAATTGAGCTGCATTTCTTTCTCTTTTTTATTGTATTAGCATTTCACACTGCATGCACTGCTTCCTTCCACCCGCTTGCTGGCGTAAAAAGCAATACAAAGAGCATTTTACACTTCCCATTGCTATAAAATTGCGGAAAGTGTTAAAAGTTGCAGCTTCATTTTTTGTGCTATTTTCGCTTTTTTATAACTTTAAAGATAAGATTTGAAAATAAATGGCTTAAGAACTATGTACATAATTTATTTAGGTACAAGACATAAACTTAATTAAAAGTTAGCTCATTTTACGGGACTTGAATTTGAATTAAAAAAAAAAAAAGTAGAATGTACGGGAGTAGTCGAAAGCTATTTGAAAACCAATTTTTTTTTTTAACAAGTGCAATGTTTTTCAAACTTAATGCTTTAAAATGCTGCAAAATATTTAAATTGTTTTCTATTTCGCTTTTTTCTTTTTTTCGTTTGAAAAAAAAAACACTATATCACAAAAATATCATGATTCAATTATTAAAGGTTTTGTAAGTAGCTATTTTCTAAAATTTGACACTCCCACCCACAGGGATGGTTTTTGGAAGCAGGAGAAAAAGGGGAAGAATTCAATCACACTTCCTAAAAAGTAGCGAAATTCTACAAAAAGGCGTCGATAATGGTGCATCGTGGTGTTTTAATACAAAAACGAATTTGATTTATTTAGTTAATTTAAACCAGCTTATTTACATCAAATACAACCCCTGATTATTATTAAAAATAAATTTTGCTATGAATATACCAAAGTTGCGTACGTCAGACGGCGCAAAACTCAAGAATGGAAGGTCCCCTTAGAGCTATTTTTTTATTCTTTGTCTGCCTTGTAAATTCTTTGCGGTACCATTTACATTAGATAGATATGAAGAAGCTATTTGTTTGTGGAAAAGTTATGGTGTTTTGATTGAAAAACGCCAAATAAAAACATTTGGAGCTTACGATTCTTTCGCGATTATGGCTCGATTGCTTCGAATATGGGTGTTTCCATACAGCCGTACGCGACATACGCTTATAGAGGAACGTAGATCTATCAAAAATAGGAGTTACAGAAAAAAGAAGATTACGGTTATGTTTCAACGAAAGGGTACTATGTTTGAGAAAAATATAAGCAGCCTCGAAACTTTGGTGGGGAAAATATCCGTTCAAAACCAGGTGATAACGTACGCGACAAAAAAGAAGTGGTTTTAAGGCACATATACATATATGCGAAAGTCTGC